TCAAGGCATATTCCAGAGAATGTGGATGGGAAGGTTCTGCACAGCGCCGCGTTGGAGTTGGTTTGAAGCTGCATTCGTAGGCAGAAGGTGCTCACATGGTCTTCGGGGTCGGTCGTGCCGTTGTACGCTGGGAGGGTGGGTGGCGCTCCGCTGAGATGCTCCGCCATAATTTCCGCGCTCAACGGCTGGTGGAGGACCTTTCTAGGTGGGTTGGGTCGGTATTGGAGTCAAGTGTTGCTCCAAGAAACTGAGGTCCGCCCGCCCAGGCGGCTCGGCTCCTCGCGTTTCGCACGTGGGTGTTCCGTTTGCGCGCGTTGTGGTGGTTGGGCGGTCCCCGACGTCTCTCCCAAGGCTTGTTGTCGCGTGGCTGCCATCGCGTCTATTGTCGTCGCGGCTTCCTTGCTCATCATGAGCGCGATGACTTGGCTCATTTGTTTTTGCATGTCCGCTATGACACTGTTTTGCTTCGTCATCAGCTCCCTCATTTCTTTGGCTGTCAGCTCGGGCTCCTCTTCTTCGATGAGCACCGCATTGAGGTTGCTGGCTTCTGCGAACGCCCTAGGATCGGTCATCGCCTTGATGGGCGTCGCTTCGTCAGGTGAGTCGTGGTTGCGTTCTGCCATTGGTTGATTGATTTTTTTTTTTTTTGCGTTTCTTCTTGGCCCCACGGTGGGCGCCAATTGTTTGAACCTAACTGAGTGTAGGAGTGAGGTTCGGGGAAAGATGTGGGTCAAGAAGAGTGAACAAAAGGGGAATATCAAAGATCTCGCGGGTAACGGGGATTGAGGGAACGAGATTGAGAGGATAAGATTGGGAGCAAGGAGTCGTAGAGAGAGAAGTTGATGTTTATAGAGATAGAATGCCCAAAATGCGATCCCCTTCACCCACCGGAGTAAATGCTGTATTTATAGGCTACATGGTGGTGGGTGAGTGGGTGGACTACGGGATGGTACAATGACATGACCACTGATGTGTCAGGGATTTAGGCCATCCCTCAACCTAGGACTTGTCAGGGGATTGTCTATGATTGTATCTAAAGTCTTGATGTGACCTTCCCTCGGGGGACGCAATGACGCCCTCAGCGGCCATGACGCCCTCTGCGGCCCTTTGGTCTGGTCATCGTCTGGTCTTCACACTCGCGCGCGTAGCTTTATCCTTGCCGCGCCCAAGGTCCTCGTGCCGCCGGTTGTGTCGCGCCCTTGCTGTGTTCGTTGTGGCGCGCGGTCCAATATGTCCCCTTGGCGCAGGGATGGTCCGAGTCATATGCCCAACAGTTATATTTGTGGTTATATTAGAGACCATTACTCATTTTTACAAAGTATTGCTATAAACCAATTTCCATCCCATAGTCTCGTCACACTACCCAAATTGGAATAAACGAACATTTTATTCAACAATGAAATTCATTAATCGCCAACAACTTCACATTGTTAAACGCCATTATACTATTTCCTAAAGTTTTCAATGTTGCATAGTATCTTTGGAATTAATCATGTAGTGTACTTTTCAACCGCTTTCGTGTAATGAATGATAATGAAGCAATCAGAAGGCAGCTGTATCCCTTAGTTGTTGAATCTGACTGTCAATCTCTGATGGGGAAATTGAAGAACAAGGTGGTTGACTGGACGGAGCTGGGGGTATTGTGCAAAGAGATTTGGAAGTTGGCTGGGGAGATCGAGGAAGCTGCGGGTTGTTCAGTGAGATGGAGCTTTGTTCCCAGAAGTGGCAATGGGCCGGCCCACTGGCTAGCCCACTCGGTAGTGAGTTGGGATAATCAGATTATTTGGGTTGGAGACCCCCCTTTTCCTGTTGTTAGCTTGATTGAGGCCGATTTGGGCCGAGGCTTGGCTGGCCTGTCTTGATTATTTTCAGAATGAAATTTTCCAGGTTTTCCATAAATAAAAAAAGATTGAATACAAAATTATTAGACACAAAAAGTTGGTCATTAGTAAATGAAAGAGGACAAGTTGGTCATTAGTAAAATAAGTGGGGATAAAATGGTAAAGAGTCATCATGGACTTTGTATCCAAACACAAATCTCACCTCTTGAGGTGGAATTTTCAAGTCCGTGGGGTCCACGGATTTGGTCTCTCAAAGTTCGTGGACCCCAAAGATTTATCCTTACTAAATCCATCAAGCAAACAATGAATTGTGTACAAAGTCCATGATGGTTGGGTTTCATGCACCAAATCCACGATAAAATCCATGAAGCAAACAAGGCCTTATACCAAGCATTATGTATTTGATGAAAAAACATTGTTTGTTGAGGTATACAAATCCGTGGGCCCCATGATTTTGGATTTTTTTTTTAGTTCCAAATCCGTGGACCTCAAGTATTTGCAAATACCACATTTCATTTGGTATTTGCAAATAACACACTATGGAAGGCAAATTTTTGAGACCCAAATACCAAATGAACTAAATCCATGATAAAAATTCAACTAAACAAACAATGTTATATTTCACATATAAAATGCAATAAATCCATCATAAATCCAAAAGTTTTCAAAACTCAAAACCTTCACTTTCAAATCCAACAAGCAAACGAATGGTATCCCTGTTTAGTATCTGTAAGGACACAAAGCTTAGCCTTTGTTTGGTACAATTTAATGTTCGTTAAGAAAAACGCATCGAATTTCGGAGGTTCACAAATATGCAATTTTTGAATTTCAAACTTGTCGCCGCCCCCAAATTTGAGAAACCCATATAGATATATGGGAATCGAGTGTAGGTAAGTTAAGTGACCAAAATCTTGATACAAAATGACATTTTTTTTTAATCCCCATTTGTTCAACTGATTCATAACATCAAAGCACTAATCCATAATTCACTTCAAACTACCCAAAGACAAAACAATTAAAAAATCACCTCTCCTAGTTTAGGCATCAAACAAGCGTTCAAGAGAACCCAATAAATTACCGTATGAACCTACACTGGCCATAACTTGTAAGATCAACAAAATATCATCAATCTTAACCGGCCGTTCCCATCGACTCCGATTCATGATCCGACACGCCACTTTGAAGATATCAACCCGAGCATGTTGGCCACCAATCCTTTCCGCAGCTCACAAGATTATAGCCTTCCAAAAACACAATTGAGCCTCTTTCGATGGTTAAAATAAAACTGAACGAATCTCCATTCAACTCTATCCAAATACAAGGACCTAGAAACTTTAAAAAAATTTATTATTTCGCATCAATTTGTACTTATACGATATTATTTCGATACATTTGACGATGACGAAAGGAGAAGTATGTTTCTAATGGTGCTACATTCATAATGCTTTACTTAATGATTTTTATTACCTCTAATCAAGGTGTCTTAGAAGTTAATCCATCTCCTGATTCAAGTTGGACAGTCCTGAAATCTCCCATCATCAACCCATGACCAATAAGCTGATGCAAAGAGTATATATTTATTAATAACTAATATATTTTTTTAGGAGGCGGCCTTAAATTAAAAAAATGCAGAAAATAATAAAAAGAAAAAAGGCAAGGAAACGTCATTGGATTTGGAGCCGGCAAAAATTTTATTAATAAACTTTGTTAAGCAACTAGGGTGGCTACACGTGGCATATATATTGGACCAAACAAAAGGGGGAGAATTCCTATAATTACCACATGAGGTCTCCCACATGTTACCCATTTCCAACATAGAAATTAATATTCTTTACAAAAAAGTTTAAACTTTAGCCAGCCAATTAAAATTAAGATTAACATCTTTTGTTTAGTCCCATAAAGAATAAACATATACAATTATATTACAATGTTTAGACTTTAATAACAATAAAAATAAACTCTTCTTTTTCTAATTTCCTTTTGATTCTAAGGAGATATACTAATCAAAAGTCCCAAACTCTCATGAACAACCGCTAACTGTGTTAAATAAGTTTCAATGGGCACATTAATTTTGTCGCTGACCGCTGTAAGAGTAACACAAAATTAACATTTATCAAGACTTGGATTTAGTACCTCTTGAATCCAGACTTGTGCTTTGACAATCTTCTTTTTCTCCTGCTTGATTCTGCTCATTAATTCTCCATTCGATCTCCTTACCTAAATTTATCGAATGAAAATTCATCAAAATTTCTTTTATTCAATAAATTGTAAGTTTCATAGAATGGAATGTGTCGTCCTTGTTTGAATGTCTTTCCAAGTACACACATTACTTGTTTTGGTGTTGTTTATGTTGTCTCTACACTTGTTCTCTACTACCAACTAACTCTATTCCCATTTTTTGACATGATTGATTTATATTACAAATAATAATGAATTTCACTCAAATGAATTTTTTTTTACAAAAGATAATCATTCATTCGAAAAATAGGTAATTACATCCTGGTCACCCAAATGGCTTGTAAATCATTGCAATATGTAAATAAATAAAGAAGCATACACAAATTAGCAACCTCACTCCGATTTTCTTTTTTACATGCTTACAAAGATTGTTGCAAGATCATAGTCAAATCGGACGCTTTGTGGTTTAGAAATATGGAAACACATTCAAAATAATTTTTTTATTAAATAAATTGAAATTTTTACTGTTTTATTTTATGAATACACTTGCTAGTTTTTCATGGCATAAACATAAAAAGCTGGACAATTTTTTTTAATGACAATTCTGCACTTTTTGCTTTACTTTCAGAAATTAAAATTTATATTTCTCTCTTTTCTTGCTTATTAGATTTATTACATTATTATTTTCTTCCGTTTTTTTTTTTGTCCTCCTCTTCTCTTTCCTGTGCAGTGATGGTGGAATGAATACATAAACAAACTGCTGACTTCTTTTTCCCCTTCACCTGAATCCAAACACTCTCTGCAACCCCACACAGAAAAAAAAGAGGGGAAAAAAAGAACAGAAAAGAACACACACTCCAATCCGAAATCTTTTACTCGCTTTTGCTTCGGCCAGCGTCTCAGGCTCTCAGATCACAGAAGGGTAACTTCTCTTTTTCAATCACCTTCGGTTTCGCTTCTCCCAGCGTCAGTCTAATTTGGGTTTGCAGACTTTGCATTGGAGGGGGGGAAAAAGGGGTTAGTGTGCAGTGATCTTCCTTGTCAAAGCTTTGGGCTTTCCCACCACTTCCGATTGTTGCAGTTTTAGAGGGCTTCGATTCATTCCATGCAAAGTTCCCCGGTGCTTTCTAATCATGTGGGTACTCCCCAAATGATGTGATTTGAGTGTGTGAGTGAGTTCACGAGGGGATTTGGGGTATTGGGTTTTCAAGCGCTTAATTTGTCAATGGAGACGGGCAGTTTTTAGCTGTTTCTGGGTTTGCATGTTGCGTTTTCCAGCTCTGCGCCCGTTGTGGTAGTCAATTTTTCCCATTTCCCACCATCTGTTTCTGGTTCTTCTGATCAATTACATCATCTCCTTTACCGTGTTTGTGTAGGCAACTGATGCATGGATTTGTTTAGCATTTGTTTGGTTCCTTGTGTCTTATTCAGTCTCCATTTGGGGGTTTCCAAAATGTGTAGGCCGGTCGGATTTATTTATTTGGGAGCCTCTCTCTCTGTCTTCGTTTTGTTTGCTTCTCTCTGTATGGTTTAAGGCGGGGGTTTTTGGTGGATCCTCTTGCAATCTGTCCTAATCGCATGAATTTGCCGTTTAATCGGCCTTTTTTCCTCCCTTTCCCCTGCCTAGCTGTGGTTGTTGATCAGTTGTTTCTAAGATTCTTTTCATTGCTAGTCTATCTCTTTTTCAATGATGCATTCTCAAGGCATGGATTAGGGTTTTTTTCCGCGGAATGTCTAGGATTTGCCTGCAATGGGTTTGAATCTAGTGATCTTGTTTGGCTTGAGGGATTCGCGAGTGTAGCATGTTGAGTTTGATTCGGTTGTGACTTCTTAATTGGGCTTTTCAGGTTTTGAGTGTGGTTGTGACTTGAATTTGACGAGGAGCAGGTTAAAGAAGAGGTTTGGTTCACCAAAAGGCTTCTGGTGAGTTTGTGAATGTTTGGCATGGAATGAGTGGTGGAGGTGAAAGTTGTTGAATGGAGATAAAGACAATGGGTTCTCATGGTGAAGCTAGGAGTAATGGCAATCAGTCTCATTTCCAGCCATTGGGACGGCAGAACTCATTGTACAACCTCACTTTGGATGAGGTCCAAAACCAGTTGGGTGACCTAGGGAAGCCCTTGAGTAGCATGAATCTGGATGAACTTCTAAAAAATGTGTGGACTGCTGAGGCCAACCAGTCTACGGGTACAGAGACCGAAGGCACACAGTTGTCCAGTCAAACTTCCCTGCAGCGGCAAGCAAGCTTGTCACTAACTGGTGCTTTGAGCAAGAAGACAGTTGATGAGGTTTGGAGAGACATTCAGCAAAGCAAGAGCAATGGAGAAAGGAAGTCCAAGGATAGACAACCCACTTTGGGAGAGGTGACATTGGAGGATTTTCTGGCCAAAGCTGGGATTGTAGCTGAAACACCTTCGGATAATAATCGAGAGGTTGCTGTTGCTGACCCAAATGTAGCGCCGCAGTTCCCCCAACAGGGTCAATGGTTGCCGTATCAGCATGCACAGTTCCAACATCCTCAACCAAATATGATGGGGATGTTCATGCCAGGTCAGCCTGTACCCCAGCCGCTTCACATGGGGGCTGGTTCTGTGATGGATGTTGCGTATCCAGAGAACCCAGTTCCAATACCTCCGCCGCCTCTAATGGGAACACTGTCAGATTCACAAATGCCCGCGAGGAAAAGAGGTGCACCAGATGAAGTTGTTGAGAAGCATGTTGAAAGGAGACAGAAGAGAATGATAAAAAATCGCGAATCCGCTGCCCGTTCAAGAGCCCGGAAACAGGTCTAATTTTGCTTGGTTGAATGGTTCAATCAGATTTTATGCCCACTTTATGCTATCGTATTCCTTTTTTCTCTTCAATTTAGCTTCTCTCATTTCGTCGTAATTTAATTGGCATATCCAGGCCTACACAAATGAACTAGAGAATAAAGTGTCTCGCCTAGAAGAGGAAAACGAGAGACTGAGGAAACTAAAGGTCAGCTTCCATTCGAGTTCTATCCTGCTTCATTTTGATTATCATCAATGTTAGTGATGTGTCCACCATTTGTTATCATCAAGACGTTGATGAAGGTTTCAGCTACTTTCACTTTTGTCATTATTTCATCCCTTGCCCTGCATCAAAGTTGATCACAATAGTTGAGTTTACTAGAGAGCTCAAGTGGAGGCACCCGATGCTATTGCTGTCGTCGATTTGTAGATAACAGCAGTAATCTGCTAAACATTTAAACTATTTTGGATGAGTGAGTACCACGTATAATTCAATATCATCTCTGTACACTAGTGGATAACTCATGAGCAGATTGAAGGGATATGTGGGTGGATGAAGCATAATTTTGGTCTGCTTCAGAAATATGAGAACTTGATAATCTTTGAGTGGTTTTCTTTGGCGTGGTGTGGGTGCGACTGTGGAATCTGGGATCTCCTTTGATTGAGTTCAGTTTCTTTCTCTTAGGTCCAATATCTTGTGTTCATTACTCATTGTGCATTCAAGTTTATGTTTTTGTTCTCCAAAAAGTACACTCAGGCATAAATTGTTGAGTTCATGATAACTCATTTTTTTGTTTATGGAACTGTTTGTAGAAAATTTAAATCAATGTAACAGCACTGTGTCATCAAATAACATATGTCCCAACTGGTGCTCTTTGGCTTTCAAGGTTTCAACTGTACAAACAACTATAGTACCATCAGACAAAAAATGACAGAAATTGAGTCCACCAGTAATTTTTGAATCAGGGAGTCTTGTAGTTTTGATGTGCATCAATCATTTCGATAATGGTTGCAGGAAAATTACTCGGACTAGTTATTAACTTCCAGCACACTCTTTTTCCCATGACCCTTGAGCTTATGTCCTTTTCCTTTCCCTAGTATCAGCTCTAAGACTGTAAGAGTAATTGAAAACCTGGCAACAAGCTTCAAGTGTTTATGGTGGAGTTAAAATGTAGAAAATGATTGGAATCTTGATTTTTTGCTTATGGAATTACTACTATGGTCTAAGTAGGATATAATTCAGGCCATCTTCCCTTTCTGTGTAGAGAATTGTCATTCAGGAACAAATCCTTATCGGTTCCTTGTTGAGTAGGAAATTTCTTCGCAGCAATCATGCGCTGCGGGTATTCTAATATATTATTCTTGATGAATGTGAAGCAGAGGATTTGTCAATAGTTTGGAAAGTGAAGAAAGGGAAGGTTCTTCTTTGTCTGTTGATTACTTTGGAAGGCTAATATTGCATTCAGCATTTTGTTTGTCTCCTTGACTGTCCACAAGGTCTTTTACACAAATGAATAGTTAAGAAAGATAAAAGTTCTGTGGTTGTTCATTTGCTTTCAACTAGATTGAATCAGTTGTATCTAGCTCCAAGCTAATGGATTTTGGCGGTCCTGTTAGTGTGAGCTAATAATTTGGTCGAGACTGAGTGCTTGGATTTCTGAGGTTATGATGTTGGATGATAGTGTTGCAGTTCTGACCACTGGTAACATCTTAAGCACGGTAGAAAGGTGCCACTGCTCTTATTTTACTGTCATCGCAACAACAACAGTAACCGCAGTAGATAGATGAATTTTCTGCTTATTCTGGCATTAGAACTTTATATGAAGTTTTTGTTGCTGTAGGAAGTTTCTGGTAGCCTTAATTAGGGAAATATATCGCTCTTGGTATGCGTTCGGGGTCGTTCTTACTGTCCATCCTACTCAAGCATGATATGCACATGTTGTACACACCTTGTGTTTCCTAGCCAAACTAATGCCAACGCTGATTCGGTAAGACGAGGCTGAAATCACATACTAGGTGCATAGAATAGCTCAAATTGCCAAATCTGAACCTGAGATTTAGGAATTGTTAGAAGAACATCACCTGGTCAATGGAGTGCTGTCTCTAGCATGGATCTATGTATTAGTTTAAAGACCCTTTTTATACGAGCACTGTTTTGCATTTGTTTACATGCAATCTTGACTTGTTAGTCTGCAATTCGGTGCCCCATGCTTCACATTTGTTTAGCACATGACTGTGCTTTGGATGCATATGGTTTTTCTTTCATGAGTTCTCTCGGTTATCTGCAATTGAAAGAAATCTCAGTAAACCAAGTGTTGAAATGTGGAATTTTGCAGGAGCTGGAGAAGATGTTGCCAAGTGCACCGACACCTGAGCCGAGGTATCAGCTGCGGAGAACATCGTCATCCCCACTCTAACTAATGCTCCATGCGCAACCCTTTTCCAGACACATGTGATGGAATCTGTAGGAGGCTTTGTGCTTGTAATTGCAATGACCAGAAAATCAAATGGGAAAAGAGAAAAAAAAAAAAAAAGGGGGAAAGGAGAACAAAGGAGTTGAGTATGGACAATGTCTCGTTTGGTTTTGATGTTTTTCTTTTTTCCTTAGCCTTTTAGATGCAGCTGTTGCTTGGTTCTCAATTTCATGAGGGGTGTTTTTTCTCATTTACTTTCTTTTTACCATTTCTAATCTTTGTATCTTTGTGAAAAGTTGGGGGGTTAGAAAGTTTAAGCTGCAGAGATACAGTTTGTAGTTTGTTGCTTCAATGAGTGTCCTTGGTAAAGAAAGAGGTCCATATTTTTACATGTAGTTTTCCAGTTGTTCACTTGTGGGCTAGTGAGTAATATACTTGGAATTTGCAGCAACCAAGGACCCCTGCTGCTGTTGCCTCTGAAACATCAGTTGGTGAGGAATAAACTAAACAAAGCAGACCAAAATAAGAAATCCCAAACTTTTGGATGAATGAATAGAGTGGCAGAATTGCCTTTTTAATTTCTCCTAGACCCTAGTGCATGAATTTTAACAGATTCACTTCATCTCAATCCTCTCCAAAGGGAGATTTTCAAGACGAATGAAAAGAAACATAATTCGTTCTCTAAATTTAACAATCCAAACGTGGACAATTTAATTATTGCATCGATTTAATCTAAACATTTCTCTATTGCGTCATATTTCAAGGGACTTTCAAAATTAAACGTTTCAAACCTTTTTTTTTCTGTCTAATGTAAAGTTGACATCTTTGAATTTCCTTTGTGAATTGGATTAGAGGTAACTGAATTTGTATATATCTGACTTTGTCTCTTACAAGAAAGAACCAAAGAGAATGGCAAAATAGAAGTTAGCAGTCAAACGAACTCGTCAAAATTCAATTCACACATACGGGTACGGGAACTTCATACGATTTTAAATGATATTCCATGTTAGTAGCCAGAATAGAAAAATCAAAGGAGAAAACAGAGAGCAAAATGGCGGTACTTCTGAGAAACTTCCCCACTACCACTTCCTTTAGCCATAGTGCACATCTGACTTCTCCTCCACCTTCTCCTGACTCGTTTCAGTTTGTGATTTTCCTCCGATAGTGGAAGCTTGCCAATTTCTCTCCTGTTCTTAGTGCTTTTCCAACCATTTCGCTGCCAATAATCTCAAAGCTTCCTAGCAGGATCTCATAACTTTCATCCCAACAGAACCAGAACAGCCGCCAAGGAGGAAGCAATTCAGATTTCGCCTCCACGCTGTTTTTGTGTTCCCTGTCTCTGCTGCAACTAAGCAGGTATTGGATTGGAGTTCCGAAGTCCCGATTTCCATTTTCCCCCACTTCTCCTTTTACCTTGATCTGTTCGCTCATCTTTCGGGAAATAGGTTTAAAGGTTGCAACTTTATGGTGTTTGTTGCACTTCTCTGAACTGGGTGCTGGTGGGGTTTTTGCTTTTGGTTTCTGGATCGATAAATTTGGTTCTCTGCTGAAAGTTTTCTTCTTTCTTGTGTTTCTGTTGGCGTGTAGATATGGGAACTGTGGATGAGAAAGTGGAAGTTGCAATTGAATCTGGTGACGAGGAGATGGAGATCCTGTTCAGTGGCACCTCCTCACCAACAAGGAGGAAAGCAGTAAATTTTGATTTGGAGAGTGAGACATCGCCACTGAGTTCATCCAATCACTCCCATATGAATACTTCTTCTGATCATTTGACCAACTCCTGGATTGTCAAGCGGATGGAGATGAGCCCTTTCAGGACATTTTACATTGTTTTGATCAGAGCCAAGATCAATATCTTGCTCCCTTTTGGTCCCCTAGCAATCTTGCTTCATTACTTCACTGGAAAGCATGTATGTATTTGATCTAGAGTTGTGTTGTTTTTTGCCGTTTGCTTTTCAAGAATGTTGTGGTTGATTGGCATATGAGAAGAAAACGGTTTTAAGTTCACTTACAATGGTGATTTCTTGAATGTCATCTTCTAGGTATGGGTTTTCTTCTTTAGTTTAGTGGGGATTATACCTCTCGCCGAGCGGTTGGGTTATGCCACTGAGTAAGTGTCAGAGTGTCATCTGTTATATTACTTATTTTATTTCCTGTTATACACTTGAAGTAGTAATGAGAAGTTTACTGGTAATTGCTTTGCAGGCAGCTTGCATTCTACACTGGACCAACAGGTATGGTTGGTACTGAATATTCCTACTTGGATTACATAATAATATATACCTAGTTGATCTTCTTAACTCGGATGCCTTACTATGCAAGTCAGATAAGGTTGACTTAGTTCTTGACTTGATTCATCATAATATTTCCTAGTCAATGCGGACAACTTGTCTTTGAAGCCGTATTCAGCATCAGATTGAACTTCCTTTTTTTGGTTAGAAGAATGTGGGATTGCGAATCGCATCATATGTGAACATTCATGGCTGTTCATGTTGAGTTGTGCTGTTTTTTGTTTTGTTTTGTAATGAGTGACAAAAGTATTAGTGGGAAGAGGAAAGTAACTGAGTTCAACAGTGACCATCTATGATGGGAACCTTTCTGAGAAAGCATACTGAACATCTGAAAACTATTCTTCACTTGAACGAGCACAAAAGACTAATATGTGGCAAGAGCTTTAGGTGTACTCTAATTTATTTATTTTGGCTTTTTATGAGAAGTGTTAATTGCTAGGTTAGCATTATAGTGGTCAAAAAGTGTGTTTCGACGTAGAAGTGTAGAGATTGGTAGAGACTGAAAGCGTAAGCTTTTATGCATTATGGAAAATTGTTAAAAATCTTCTAACTAAATCTGTACTGTTAGGGATATGAACACTACAAATACATTATTATCTTCTTTTCCATATTTAAAAGGTTGCTGCTCAAACACATAAATTATTTGACGAGCTCTTAAGCTAGAGCAAATTCTAACTCATTATAGGAAGGTCATAAATATAGAATACGAATAGAGGTTACACAAAAAAAAAAAAAAAATCATAATTCATGGAAGAACTTAAGAGTCCAAATTCTTGAAATCAAAGGACACATAGAATAATTCTTTGATTCATTGATGAATAATGAATTCTATTGGTGCTAGTGTGTACCGAAAATGTTGGTATACACGGACAGAAGATTTTGGCTATCATTTCACTGAAACTCGATAAAAATATGTTGTTTGCAGGGAAGAGAATTTCATTCATCTTCCAGGGATTGATTGGTTGCAATATGCTTTTAGATTTAAAGACATCATGCTAAGTTGCAGTTCTGCAGTAATTTTGATGTTTTTTTTATCTGTCCAGCCGGTGGTCTTCTGAATGCAACCTTTGGAAATGCCACTGAAATGATAATATCCATTTATGCACTAAAGAGTGGAATGGTACGAGTTGTTCAGCAATCTCTGTTGGGGTCCATCTTGTCTAATATGCTCTTGGTGCTTGGATTTTCCTTCTTCACTGGTGGGATTGTACATTGTAAGAAGGTTCAGGTTTTCAATAAGGTATTTCCAGTCACATCAAATCATCTTTCCCGGACAAAGTCTGAATGCCTAAGCTGGTGCAGTTTTGTATGAAATGTGAAAATTGTAATTATCTTGCAACAGGCAGCTGCTGTAGTGAATTCTGGACTATTATTAATGGCTGTGATGGGGATAATGTTCCCAGCCGTGCTTCACTTCACACGCACTGAAGTTCATTTTGGGAAGTCAGAAATGGCGCTTTCAAGATTTAGTAGCTGCATTATGCTAGTGGCTTATGGAAGCTACCTCTTCTTCCAACTTAAGAGTCAGGATAATCTTTACAACCCTATTGAAGAGGTACATTGTCTATACCATCTTCTTGCTCTGCCTGCTTCAGTTGTCAGTCTCACTGATGGATGAGATAAGTGAATCGGTGTTAACTGTGGATAAAGTGTAGCTCAATACTTCAAGTGTGGTGCTATTCTTCTTCCTACTTTCTTAGGAAGGAACTTAATAATTGGAGGAATGCAAATATTTGGACAAAAGTGGATAATTTCTTTGTAAAGCAACCTTAGTCTTCTCGGGTAGTGTTTCGAGCCTTGACAATACTCCAAATTGTAATCCTTGTAAAATTCTACAGGTAGTGAATAATGATCAAGAAGGTGCCGATGAAGAAGAAGCACCGGAAATAACTCAGTGGGAGGCAATTGGTTGGCTTGCAGTTTTGACTTTGTGGATCTCTGTGTTGTCTGGATACCTTGTTGATGCCATCCAGGTAACTAGAACTGTAGTGTTCCACCCCTGTATGTCTGTCTCTCTGTCTCTGTTTCTCCGTTCTTATCCCAATGCAAATGGCAAGTTCGAATTTGTGCGAACTGGAGAACATTGTTGGTGAGGGTCGATTCTCCATTACTTACTTAATCCCATTGATACGTGTCTTTCAGGGAGCATCTGAGTCACTGAATATGCCTATGGCTTTTATAAGTGTGATCCTACTTCCTATTGTGGGAAATGCAGCTGAGCATGCAAGTGCCATCATGTTTGCTATGAAGGACAAGCTTGTAAGTAGGAATGATGATGTTCTACAATAATGGATGTTTTTGTTTCTCCTAATTCATGCTGCTAATGCTGATTGAATACCGATACACTTATCTGGGTTGCTCTATTGACAATATCTTTTCAGGACATCAGCCTTGGAGTTGCTATTGGGTCCTCGACACAGATTTCAATGTTTGTGGTAATTAGCTCTTTCTGCTTGTATTCATCTGTTGCAGTTGGTGAACTTCTGCTTTCGGTTTGCTCATTGGAATTCGCTTTTTTGTTGCTTAAAGTACTTGCAACAGTTAACTAATGTCTTTCTCTTGGGACTTGTAGATCCCATTCTGTGTCGTCCTTGGGTGGATAATGGGCCAACCGATGGACTTGAATTTTCAACTCTTTGAGACTGCTACCCTCTTCATCACTGTTCTAGTGGTGGCATTCATGTTACAGGTTCGCGGCTCAGTCTGTTTACTTTTCTTCTACTCTGAACCGTTTTCATTTTGGCTTCGTGGAACGATTAGTACAAATAAGGTTCTCAAGTTTTGCTAAGATTGAGATGTCTTTCATCTTCTTCACTTCGCTCAACGCGTACCATGTTTTGTTGTTGCTGGATTCAGGAAGGAACCTCTAACTACTTTAAAGGCCTTATGCTCATCCTGTGTTACCTTATAGTCGCCGCAAGTTTCTTCGTGCATGTTGATCGTTCAAGTGGTGAGTTTTCTTGGAAGTTTGTCCTTCATGCTAAAAGAGGGAGTGATCATTCAGCTATAGTCCTCTTCATAACCCAAAGATAGCTTGGTAACGGTTGTATCATCAACTACATTTGTGCTACCTTTTTTACAGATGATGACTAGAGAGCACAGTTGGTTCGAGGGAGGTAACAGTCAAAGAGTGGAGGGCAGCTTTTATTACAGGTTGGAAAGGAACAGTCCTTCCAAAGCTGGAATTTGGTTTCTTGAACCAACATTGATGACGGTGGAACCGGGTTATTGTAGTACACGCACCCTCGACAAAAAGCTATCCTGCACGAGAAGCCCAGTAATCCTGCTGATCTATACTAGATCATAATTGCATTCTTCTTTGCCGGCTTTGTTGTGATCAAAGCTCGATATGTTCTATGACTGCCTGCAATGAAAGTTTCTGCTTCGACAAAGAACCGGCTGCTGCACGTGTGACAAAACTTAGTACCTTAACCCCCCAATACTCTTAACTGTTCTGTGCTTGTCAATATCGGAGGCCTCTGAAGCTGGTCATGAAACATGGCTCCCAGAAAGATGATCGATGGGAACCGAAAACTGTGACGCTTTAGATCATGCCGAGAAAGTTAGGATTGTAATCCTTGTAAAGAAGAAAAGATCTACACTTTTTTTTGTTTTCTGCCCTTCCATGATTCTAGTTCAATATCCTCGAAAGTGTTTACATGAAAACTTAAAAGCGTTTGCATGACCTTAAAGCGTAAAAGTATAAGCTTTTAAAGAGCGATTTTAACTACATTTTTCACAATCCTTTTTATTTAGGCTAAACACACCCTACATCCAACAACCATACAAACAAGCACACTCTTGATCGACTGTCTGCACATACTTCTGCAACATGGATGATCAGCAAACACACACTGGATACACAGAACTTGACGCGGCAGTTATTAAACCGCGACGAAATCGACGACGATCGAAGGATCCATCGATCAATCAAGCGGTTTTAGCAAGGTTAGCATCCGCCTCCTTGACGAGGAGGGTGATGAGGTTCATGTACTTGGTCGGAGGCGGCACACTCGGCTCTCTTTTCTCATACTCAATCGTCAGCTTCGCCGTCCCCTGCTTCTTCCCGTCGCCATTGCTGCCGGCCACGCACTCGTAGATTATGTTATAGACTTTGTAGAGCTTCATCACGTCCCCTTCCAGCCCATTCAGCTTCACAATTTTCTTCGCGTCGTCGTGCTCCACCCTCTCCTTGAACACCTCCAGCTTGCCCTCTGTTTTTTTTTTTTTTTTTGCACAGAACGAAAAAACAGAGTGTTAGAAAAAAACAGAGCATGCTTCAATCCGCCGGCAAAAAATTTCATATTTGTGTACTGTACCAAGAGTGTAGATCCAGAATTTGATGGTTCCATGAGCGTCCCATTCACCCTCGTGGACCTGCACAGCCTGAATGTGAGTTGGGGTGTGGCTTGGGAGCTCGTGACTCGTGAGCTGAGTTCTTGAGCACATGGTAGAACTTCTCCGATGGACAGTGCAGCTCCACCTCTGCCTCCAGCTTCCCGCTCATCTCCGCCATGGATTTATGTTTATTACTGATTTCCTTCAAGAAAGAATTTTTGTATGCGATCAGTACAACTATAGAGCATCTAGCTTGGCCTGAATTTATAGAGCTGGGGAAATGGGAACATTACTGCTCTATTGGTAATGATTGCTGGCCGGTCCTCTGGTCGCATCACACACCCAAGTCCCAACCACGTGATACTTGCCGGAAAGAAAGCAATCATGTAATGTGTCGATGTGACTTAAATCGGACTATCAACCGCTACGATAGCAAGTGGCGTTCAGGGGCAACGCGCCCGCGGTGTATGGACTAAATGTTATTTGGGTTCGGGTTCTGGACCTGGTCTGTAACCGTTTCCTTCGCCAGGTTGGATTAGGTTTAGACTCACATGGAGAAGTACTATAAATACTTCTCATACTCCTCTGTAATCTATAATCTCTTCGATATAGTGAAATTAGCTCTCTCTCGCTCGTAGACGTAGCTAACACACATCGTATTAGTGAACCACGTAAATCGTGTGTCTTGTTTTCGATTCTCGCTTTGTCGATTCCAGTGATTTCCCGATCCGGTTTATAACATAATGTTTGGGACAAGGAGATATAACAGTGTGATTGTGATTTGGTGGTGGGAGTCCACAACGTGTATGCAAGGGTTTAACTAGGGGTGGGATTCGGTCGGTAAACAATTTATCGTTTACCGAATTTACCGGTTTCGGTATACCGAAGTTGGCCAAACTGGTTACCGATTACCGATACCGGTTTGTAACCGGTTTACCGATTACCGAATTACCGGTAAACGGTAACAAACCGGTATTACCGAAATACCGTGAGAAGCGATTTCGGGCGATTTTTTCGGTCGGTTTACCGAATATTTACCGAACCGAATCTCTGGAAGTGGGGTGATGTTGTAATATTTCGATTTTTTTGAGTTTTTTTTCATCATTTTAGTAATTAATAATTTATTATTAACTCTTATTTACAATATTTTTGAGGCCTATACTTACATTCATGTATGTAATATTTTATATTAACTCTTATTTACAATATTTTTGAGGCGCAACACTAGGGAGTAGGGAGGGGGGATTCGGTATCGGTAATACCGATTTACCGTCGGTATTTACCGATACCGTTTTCGGTAAACCGACTCCCCCAACTTCCCGCTCGGCTACCGATACCGCCGATAACCGTTTACCGCCGGTTACCGGTTCGGTAAAACGGTAAACCGTTTACCGGATTACCGTTTACCACCCCTAGGTTTAACAGGCTCTGTTTTCCGCCATTTCTGCAGTTGCTTGAATGCATAGTGTTTAATTTTGAGAAAAAAACTCTTCAATAATTCCAAAACATTTCGTCGTCTGTAAATAATCACTCGCGTAGATATTTAGTGGCACAAATGCTTTTTTTATTTAGTATTGTTGGCTAAACAAACCATACATTCAACAGCCATATTCATACAGGATACACAGAAGTTCATGTGTGGGACACAAGTACGAAAGAGTAATATGATCACATTCATACATATATTGGCAAGTGTGATAGATATGAACCACGAGCGCGAAATCTACGATCCATCGATCAACCGGCTTTGACGAGGCTTGCGTCAGCCTCCTCGACGAAGAGGCTGACGAGGTTCAGGTACTTGGTAGGAGCCGGCACGCTCGGGTCCCGCTTCTCGTACTCGATCGACAGTTTCGCCACCCCCTGCTTCTTCTTCCCCTCGCCATTGCCGTCGTCATTGCCGCCGCCGCCGGCCACGAATTCATAGATTGAGGTGTACACTTTGTAGAGCTTCATCACATCCCCCTCCAGCCCATTCAGCTTCATAATTCTGTTGGCATCGTCGTACTCCACTCTCTCCTTGAACACCTCCATCTTCCCCTCTGTTTTTTCTCTCTCACAGAATCAACCAATATAAGGAAGAAAAAACAGAGTGTGCAAGATCTTGAAAACAGAGTGTACTCTAACTTACCGCAAGTGTAGATCCAGAATTTGACGGTGCCATGAGCGTCCCATTCGCCCTCGTGGACCTGCACGCCCTGAACGTGAGTCGGGGCGTGGCCTGGGAGCTCGTGGCCTGACTTTCTGAACACCTCGTAAATCTTCTCCGGCGAGCAATGCAGCTCTACCTCCGCCTCCAGCTTCCCGCTCATCTCCGCGTCTGCTGTCGCTGCTGCCATGGATTTCTGTATCTGCTTCTGCTAATTTCCTGCAAGAAGAATGCTTTGGAATTTGTAGAGAGCTGGGAAGTGGGAATGGCTGCCAATTAAAATTGAATCAATCATGAGATGTTGGGACCAAAATTGTAGTGGATGGAAATCCACAACGTTGTTTGTTGTATGCAAAGGCTGTAAAAAGTCTCTGCTTTCCGCCATTTCAACAGTTGCTGAATGCAGAGCATTGATTTTGAGAAAGACATCTTCCACAATTCCAAGGTCCAAACATATCGTAATCTGATTTTTAATCTGGTTGGTTGGCCGCTGCAGTTATTTAACGCTCGGGCTCGTCGCTTTCTCCACTTGCTTGCACTACACGGTCCCCCTTCCCTTCTACCCAGATAACCTCTCCACTCTGTTTTTTTTGTTGGTAAGAACAGGACGTTGGTTCAGAGGCCCGAAAAGAAACGCAGTTAGTTTGGTATCGAAGGCCAGGATCATTACAGTCTCTTGTAACCGAAGCTCGATTGTTATTTGTGGTGGATGAAAGTCGGCAACGCGTATGCAAAAGGGCTTTTAAAAGGCTCTCTGCTTTCCGCCATTTCTGCAGTTTGCTGAATGCAGAGCATTGATTTTGAGGAAGACGTCTTCTACAGTTCCAGGTCCAAACACATCGTAATCTGGTTGGTTGAGCCCGGCCACTGCTGTTATTTACGCTCGCTTTCTCCGCTTGCTTGCACTACCCGTCCCCCCTTCCCTTCCAACCGGATAACCTCTCCACTCTGTTTTTTGGGTAAGAAACAGGACGTTAGTTCAGAGGAATCGTAGTTAGTGATAATCGGTTAGCTGCTTCCCCCAATTCTCCCAACCGACACAGCTAACCGCAAGTGATAATCGGTTTTCGGTTAGCCGACTAACCGAAATTATCGGTGCGGTTTTACGGTTAGCCGACTAACCGGCAACCGTTTATCACCCCTAAAGCTATCTACTTTTTACATAATATTTGTACATAACATAATCTTTTCTTTTACTTGATTTTATTATTATACCACGCATTACAAGCGATTTAATGATATTGTTCTATAAGAGATACGTACGCTACAAATGCATTATGTAAAGCTTACAAAGGATAGTTATTTCTGAGTTATCGATTACAAAAAAAATATTACATAAGTCTTTTATAATGATTAGAACTCTATGTAAAATTAAGTCAAAATTTATTATTAGAACACACTTTTTTTATAGTTATTTTTTTCGAACACACTTTACATTAGATTAGAATTATTAAAACGTAAGTATCTACACTGCTCATTACAATTTTTTCTCCTTTTTCACTATTCATTGGAGGAAGCTATATGTTACAGCCGGTTCCATTATATTTGCCCAACCTAGACACCGTATGGAGGCTAGCCTAGCTTCCCCTATTTTTTTTTCTACTTTTATTTAATTTGATTTTGTTTCCTTTCTATAAATTGATGATTTGTTATAAATCAAGGATTGTAATAACATATATGAGATTTTTTTCGAAAAAGTTAATGATAGGATATTTTATACATAAATCATGGTTCAACCATTTTATACCGCTAAATACCGTCTATCAGATTAGCCTCAAGTAGGAAAATTATTCTGGACAAACTGCTGGTACGATACAATTTTTTCAATCCTTATTATAAACACACATGGGAAAAGATTCAGTTTTTTCATGCTCATGACATGGTAGCAATAAAAACCTTTCTAGATGTTAAGTCTGGATTATATCAATGTACTAGAGTTGTAAGAAGCAATCTAGGGGCTGCAAGTGTATTTGGCCATCGGGCTCGACCACACATGAGCTAGCACGTTATGACACGAGACAGTTAGAGCACAGTACGAGCACGATCACGATATATATGGGTTAGTCTGGTATCAACACAAATATCTTATGACACGTGTTTGACCTAAATTTTATGGGCATGGGCGCACGAGCACGGGCATGACATATACTATAGTTGGGTCATGTCGGTCCTAATATTTTTGAGACCCTATTGATGCAAAAAATAATTATTTTATAAAAGGTAAATACAAAAATAATTATAAATCCAACTATTAAAATATAAAACTATAAAAATGGTTAAAAAAATTATGTGGTGGCCAAATCACACTCGCTATACTTTCAATTTTCTTCTTCCCCTGATTTATTACTTTTCTCAAACATTCTCAATTAATACTTTCATTCCCTCATTTTTTTTCTTTTCATTAAACACGAATATGACACGACACTAGCACAAGTAGGCACGACATGATTCAAATAATGTCAGGACTTGGGTTGGGCCTAGAAAATTTAAAACTGAACTGGCATTGCGGGACACAGAAACTGACAAGTCGTACCAAGCACGACATGAGATAAACGAGCATGCAATGTGACCATGCCGTATTGTTCTAAGCACAACCAACATCCAGGTACAACTGTAAGTCCTTGACAAAGATAGAATAATATTCACTATCTAATATGATATTAGAATTACCAAAGTTATAAAAATAGAATAATGATCACTAAAATGTTTCCTATCCGTACCCGTTGCAAATTTCAGACTAAGAACTTTTATCCACTACACTCAATATCACTTTAATATCTTTTTCCCCTTTAGTCAACTATTTAGATATTTTTTCATTCCACGGTACGGAATATTTGCGTATTACAAATATATTATGCAAAATTTATTATTAATTGCAATGTTTATCATCTCATAAATTTGCATTATGAGAAGTTATGTAAGGTAAACTAACATTTGCATAGTAGTTTGATCAATACTTTCTATAACTTGATCTCATTATCAGACCACAAATTATGAAATATTTACTTAACACCATTCTACAATCATTATATAAATTATAAATATATTACGTAAAGAGCATAGTTGAATAGTTATTCGTTATATATCAATTAAATAAAACTCATTACATAAGTCTTCCGTAATGACTAAGACAATACATAAACTTTATTAAAGGATAGTAATTACTATGTATTAATTGACTAAACAAAATACGCAAGTCTTCAGTAATATAAGTTGGAACAAAATAATTCTACATTGTAGACAAACTGTTGACTATCTCATCAGTTTACACCATACGAAAGTTTTGTAAGGTGGGTTGGTTTTACATAACAGTTTGATCATACGTTATATCATACTCAACTTAATTCCATTACGCAAAGGTTCTCTAAGATAAGTTAATTTAACAAATAGCTTAATCAAATGTGAGATTTTTCTATAATTTAATTTTATTATTAGATCACAGATTACAGAAGATCAGCGGAACAATATTCTATAACAATTATGTAAATAAAAAATAAATTATATAAACTTATAAAGAGATAGTTATTTCTTACGTATCAATTAAACAAACGTATTATGTTAGCCTTACGTAATAACAAGACACTATGTAAGTCTTATTAAAATATCTTATCCAAAGTATTTTGTGAATTATCTAATTTCAACTAAAGCAGTAGATGAAATTTCAAATATAATTAGTTTCTTACCGCCGCGAAGCGCGGGTCAAAAAACTAGTAATAATAATAAATCAATTTATAAAAGAATAATAACTACACAATGATTGAAAATGTGCATACCACATTGGGCCTATTACCGTTACTTATGTGATTTGGGGATCGATCTGTGCGATAATTTCATGCTTATGTTGATTATCGTTCGTCTTTTCGCATTTGATGATAAAACGATAAAAACGCGAATCACGATCCACCTCGCGACCAAGAAGAATAATAACTATACAATGATTGTTAATGTACATGCCATATTGGTACATTCACTATGGTATCAAACTTTAAGTTGACATTTCATAGTGGATAGATACGGTTCCAACTTTCAAATTTAATGCCATGAATGACATTTAAAGGCGTTTTCTTGTTCAGTTTGTTGCCATAACTTTTTTGCATGCAATTATACTTCCATTTGTAAGAAACTAATTATGACTAGATTCTCTCCATGCACTACCTTTCTTCATTCACAATCATTAGCTCTCGAAGTACAGTCTCGTCTATCACTTCAGAATGTGTGAATTAGAAGACCCTCTCACAGAATTACAAAGGATCATCGAAGAAGACATCTTGGGAGTCAGCTTCCATAGACAGATGATTCAGAGAAGCCCCTGATGGCAAGATAGTTTTATGTCCTTCTCGTATCATTGTCGGTATGGCTTTCTAGTAGCTTTTGTTGTCCCTGTCGACCTTTGGAAGCGACACGATCAGTTGGCCTTAAGTTCCCGAGTCTTTGATGTATTCTGGTTGTTCAAACCCCCTTTTCAATAAAAAAAGTAATTGCTTTGTTACCTTAAGTATTTTCTCCATCCAGTTTTTCCTATATAAAGCACTATGAAATTAAGTATTTTCTCCATCCAGTTTTTCTTCTTTACATCTTTCTCCAAAAGCTTAGCCATTTCTTCCCAAACCAATCCTTCGATACGACTTTCTTTGGTGAATTGAACTTGATATCATTCAATTCAACTCCTAAAGGTATCGCGCCAAACCAATATTCGATCGATTCTTGTAACGACGAGCCACTCCTCAGCCTCAGCCTTGCTTATTCGAATATTCCCACGACAATTCCACTCGGCGAGAAAGAGCATTCAAGCACTTTTATATCAGGTCAGTTCGGTGTCAACAAATTCATCACAAAGGCCAAGAAAATTTATGTTATAGTATACAAATTCGGAGCACGCAATCACATGAATATGCCTTGTACGCTGAAACAAAATTCTCTTTCTAAAAGTTGTTAGGCCCACTTCTACCCTATTAACGGGCCTCAGTTTGGGCAACCATTTTCGGCCTGTCCCATATACCAAAAGATGTGAATCTATCCAATAACAAAATAATAAAAAATCAGTTTTTTAACTTTTGTTTCGAGCTGTTATGTTATATAAGAATAATAACTATACAATGGTTGAAAATGTGCATACCACATTGGCCCTATTATCGTTACTTCTATGATTTAGATTGAAAAATGCGGAACACGATCCACCTCGCTACCGAAGAGAATAATAGCTATACAATGATTGTTAATGTTCATGCCACATTGGCACATTTACTATTGTATCAAATTTTAAG